CAGCCTCAGTTTAGTGCAGGAGTTTAGTGAGTACGGCCCTTCTTCCCACCACACAGCCCCACACACCTCCTCCTCCTCTTCCTCCTCCTCTTCTCCAGGAGTGTAATCATCAGTGGGCTGGGACTCTGTATTGTGAGGGAGACAGCAAGACAGGGAGTTAGTGACAAAACAAGAGACAGACCAGGCTGTGGCTCCATCTGAACAGCCGAAGAAGTTGCCCCAATCTCTTGGGGTTCCATGGTTCACAAAGCTGCCCAAGTGTGGTTGAGCCAAAGGGCCCAGCATCAAGAAGCAGTAGAGAAAGGCCTCCCCTGAAGCCAAGAGCCCAGAAGAAGGACAGTGGGTAGGAAGCAGCACCCAGAGCCCTTGCCCCACTCCCAGATACTGCTAAGAGCCCTGGAATTTTGACCTACACAGCCCCCACCCTGAAGCACATGGCTGGAAGGCCCTTAGGCTGTCTTGCACTCAGAGATCACAGCTTTCCAGATGGTCACACAGGGTCAAGCATCATACCTGTGGGAGCAGGGCCATTGGAGCAGACCTCATAGATCTTGTAGGGCTGTGGTGGCATGTCTCGAGGGCCATCATAGATCAGACGGAAGTCACGGCTTTTGTTAAGGGCGCAGCGCAGGTTGGCCTTCCACTTGGCTGGGTCAGCCTCGTCCACCCCCTCAGTGTACTTCCCTGTCTCTTTAGCCCAGGCCTACGGAAGGAAAAGAGGACTGCAGATTATAGGGAGCTACGCCTGTCACTGAGGCCCCAGCAAGTCTCTTGTCCTACAGGTCACTGCTGAGAATTTTGGCCACCAGGCTAAGCCTTGCTAAGACATTGTATCAGGTGGATGTGACCAAGCCTTGTCCAGCCCTCAGAGTTCAAACAAGCTCAGTGAATTCTGTGTGCTACACGCTGTTGCTAGGAGGATCAACAGGTACAATCTCAAAAGAACGCAAGAAAATATGGTAGATGAAAGCTTGTGACTTAGGGCTGGAGAGATGGCTCAGAGGTTAAGAGCACTGACTGCTCCTCCAGAGGTCCTGAGTTCAATTCCCAGCAACCACATGGTGGCTCACAACCATCCATTATGAGATCTGGTTCCCTCTTCTGGTGTGCAGGTATACATGGAAGCAGAATGTTGTATACATAATAAATAAATAAAATCTTAAAAAAAAAAAAAAAAAAAAAGCTTGTGACTTGGAGCCAGGCTGGGTTTGCTGCCAGGCAGGCCAAATTAAGCTGCCTCTGCCTTGGACCCTCCTTGACAGTAGCTGGGAAGACTCAGGAGTAAAAGCCTTTAAAGTACTCTGAACTGTGCCTCTGGTAGGTATGCTTCAATGATTATTCTTGTTCTTTTGAGACAGGGCCTCACGTAGCCCAGGCTAATTGCAAGCTTACTAAATAGCTGAGGCTGACCTTGAGCTCTTGATACCCCTGTCTCTGTTTCCCAAGTGCTGGTATTAGAGGCCCAGCTGCTGCTGTTGTCGTCATTGTATTAAGGATGGAACATGGAGCCTCACACTTGCTGAGAACATCTCATTACCACTGACCCTCAACCTCCAACTGATCTCATTATTTTGCATGGCAATCTGGTGATATCGGGATTACAAGTGTTTCTGCTCTTTAACAACTTACTTTTGATAGAATTATATAGAATATAGGAATAGCCACACAAATTGTGTGGAAGAATCCAAGTATAAAAGCTTAAAAAATGGGGAGGGAGAGGGAGAAGGGATTCATATGTGAAACAAGCTTGTTCCTAATTTGAACTAATAAAAAAAATTTTAAAAAGCTAAAAAATATGATTTCAAAATTTTTAGAATCAGCACCTCTTTGGTCTAACAATTGTTAACTCTGGAGTACAGACCATTGAAAAAAGGGTAGAAGTTAGGAGCAATCAGTTTTCCCTAACAAAGAAGCACAGTCTGAAGTGTCCAAAAACTGAGAGTAGGTAAGTTATACCGAATCCTTCTGGTGGCTACACAATAGTCACAAAAAATGATGCCGATGTGTGTTGGGAAGGAAAGCTAACCCTGATGCTGGATGGAGAGATACAAGTTGCAAATCAGTATGTGTGGGCCAGCAAAACGGCTCTATACATAAAGGCACTTGCCACTATGTAGGGTCTGACAGCCTGAGTTTGATCCCTGGACCTCATACTGTGGAAGGAAAAAACCAACTCTTTTTTTTTTCTTTTTCTTTTCTTATTTTTGCGGGGGGCGGGGGGGGGGGGGGGGTGGTGTCAAGACAGGGTTTCTCTGAAGCTTTGGAAGCTATCCTGGAACTTGCTCTGTAGACCGTGCTAGCCCTGAACTCACAGAGCTCTGCCTGCCTCTGCCTCCTGAGCACTGGGATTAAAGGTGTGCGCCACCACCACCACCGGGCTCTAGAACCAACTCTTGCAAATTGTCCTCTGACCTCCACACACATGCTATGGTACCTGTACACTCCCTATAAATAAGTAAATAAATAAGAAAACAGTAAAGCCTATGTGTGGACTGGATGTCTTGGTGTACATCTGTCATCCAAGCACTTCAGAGATGAGGGCAGAAGGATCAGAAGTTTACTGTGAGAATCAGCCACATATCAAGTTTGAGGCCAGCCTGGGCTATGTAAGAATATTTCAAGAAGGCTGGGCGTTAGTGGCGCACGCCTTTAATCCCAGCACTCAGGAGGCAGAGGCAG